GCTGGAGATGTTCAAAAAGTACTGACACATAAATCACTTCAAGTTTTATATTATGTAAATGTTCAAATAAAGCTTTGAAAAAGTTTCATAAAAAGGTAAACCTCACATTTCAGCCTTTAAATAAAGAAAAGATATAAGTCAAAATGATAATTGATTAATAAATGATTATATGTATTTTATCTGCTCCATAAATAATTCTAGATAACTTATCTGAATTGTTTAAATATGTAGAATCCACATAAGCTTGATTTTCATCAACCGGTCAAAATTGACAGCAGGGCATGCAAATTCGCTCCGTTTTTGGCCAGAGAGAAACCGCACACAGGCTGAATGTAAATCCTACGTGGACAAAGCAGTATTGCGATTAAGAACACTTCCTTTAGGCAGGGCCGGATTATCCATAGATGGGATTGGGTGAGTGCCCTGGGGCACCAGCCAATAGGGGCACCAAGTGATTAAAATAATGAACAAAGCAGTATTACGATTAAGAACACATCCTTTAGGCACGGCCGGATTATTCATAGACGGGATTGGGCGAGTGCCCTGGGGCACCAGCCAATAAGGGGGCACCAAGTGATTAAGATAATGACTAGACCTTTAAAATATTTTTCATGTTTTCTATATTATTTTGCTGGAAGAGATGCAGATACAAAATGAACAGTTAACGATACAATATTTACAGAGAGAATATAAAATATAAAGAATTGGGATTGGGTCAGGTCACAGCGTAAGAGTTCCGCCAATAATATTAAATTCAAAATGGATAGGCAGCCCCAGCTTAGTGGTTGTGCGAAATGTAATTAAAAAAATATGTTTTTGAGAAAATATCACGACACATAGCGACACATGGGTTTTGTTTGATACCAGACTGTGATGGTGTTCATAAACGTGCTGCTGCGCTCTCATCCACATATCCAGATGACCTGGACAAAGACTTTGGAGATGAACTTCAGTTCAAGAATTTTGTGCGGGAAGAAAAAAATCTTTCACTAGAGGATATGCTGCAAATTGGGAAAAAATGGGCTACAGTACAGACTGTACTCGTTGCACTCAGACTGTTCTTAACCCGGCCCGTTGCCAACTACGAGGGCAAGAGATTCTCTCAACTTAAAAGAGTGAAGAATGAACTCAGGACAACCATGAGACAGAAGCGTCTGTCTGCACTCTCCCTGCTGGCTATTAAATCCTAGAGCCCTGTACAGGCCTCAAATATATGCCCTAGCCCGGCCCTTGTCCGTTATCAGAATTCTCGGCCCGAGTCTGACCCGAGCCCATCTTCCACGAAGAATTAAGGCAGTTCTGAAGGCAAAAGGGGGTCCAACCCGGTACTAGCAAGCTGTACCTAATAAAGTGGCCAGTGAGTGTAAGTCTCAGTAAATCCACTCTCTGACAGCAGGTGGCGCTTATGGAAAAGCTGAATTAGAGCTGTTTCCTGTAACCTCCGTGGACAAAGCAGTATTGCGATTAAGAACACTTCCTTTTAGGTATTACATGGAGCGAAGATGAAAACAAAATGCCATCGAATCGTTTCTGAAGACAGTCAGAACCTTCAGAGGTACATTCATATAATTAATTCATTCATATATTCATTTGTATAATTCCCTTAGCACTCTTTTAAAACCTCCCAGCTTTTCTACCTTGTTTTCACTCAAAACGAAACTACTCTGCTGCTGTGCGCACGTGAGACTGTTACTGAAAACTGTGCTTTATGCTGGACAGTATTTATTTATCGCAAGTTGTTCAAATCGCGGTAATCTAATACGGTTTTAATGATAATTAAAAGATGAAACGGTAATACTAACCGTGGGGAATTTTATCATGATTTATCGTCAAACCAGTAATTGTTACATCCCTATTTACAATATTATATAATATACAGCAATAAATAAATAAATAAATAATTCATTGTGAGACCTGCTAAGGATACTTAGAGATATATTTATCAATGTTAATAAATTATTGTTATTAAAAAGACACTAAAACTGAGTGCACAATAAATGATGGCAAAGGTATTTAAATGTAGAATCAAAATAAATAAATAAATAAATAAATAATGAATACATTTAAATGTAGAATTAAATAAAAAATAAGAAATTTGAATAAAAATATATAAATATACAAAATAATAAATATAAAAATTATAAATGAAAAACTGAAATATAAAAATAAACATTTATCCACCCATTTACCAAACTGGTTGTCCTATGTAGGGTTACAGGGATGGTGCCACTAAAATAAACAAAAATAAACAAATAAATACTAAAAAATAAATAAATGAACAAATACAAAAATAAACAAATATAGAAATACAGAATAAATAATACATTAAAATAAATATAAAATAAATATTCAGATAAATAAATATTCAATATTGGCCTATCCATCCATCCATCCAGCTAATGTTACATGATTTGTTAAATGTTGATCAAATACCTTGTTCTTGTTTCATATTAAAAGTGTGTTTGTCTGTCAGTAAAAAAAAGATGAGCTGTATTCTACATCCATCTAAGAAGAGCTGAGCTGAATCAGACAAGGCTCGTAAGCAGCATTCTGCAGTTGCGCATAATTCAGTTATGCAATACTCTCGGGTACGACCAGTCAAGTTTACCGTTTTCTCTTCAGTAATATGAAGACGAGGGGAACAATAGAAACGTTGTGAAATCCTCGAGAAGAGAGAGGGGTGGGATAATCTCCTCAGAACACTGAGCGCTCTGTGTGGACAAGATGTAACAATTCAAAACGCACACAAAAGGGATTTAATTGAACTTCGTAGAAATCAATAGTTCAGCTTTGGTCCATTTCATTCCATGACAGAAATCAAGACTCTAACTTGAGCATGCTGGGGAATGGAAAATAGAGGGAGAGGGGAGAGAACGAGTGTGTGTGGAGAAGAAAGGAGATGGAGAGACGAAAGGAAAACAGAGAAAGTGGCAGTGCTCCCAGGAAACCCCTTTAGTGGCAAATTGAAAACTTGAAAGGCAGCTGATGCACTCTGAATGAATCTCTGTCCACGTCCCACAGCTCAAGATCATATTTAAAAAGCCAGAGTAAAATGGCAGCCTGACTTGGCAACAGCAACCCTGCAATATGACTCTTAAAGGTCACTAACAAGGTAACTTTGTCAGTAATCTCATTATGCTAATATTATAACGTGGTACAAAGCTTAGAAAGCACTACTGTACAGATATCCTTCATTCTTTTTTACAGTACTATGCAAAACCGAACTGAAAGTAATTACATCACTGTTCTGTTTGCATACTGAATTGCAAATAATCATCTTTCTTGCTTTTATTTGCATACTGAATTCTCACATAACTAGCCATGTACAGACTGAACACAAGCCACAGACAGAAAACGAGAAGGGTCATGACAACAACAAAACATCTCTAACGTGGCATTTTATTCATCCAAAACCAACTGCTAAAATTTACATTTACATTTACATTTACTGTCATGTAGTTCATCTTATCGCACATTTCTGCAATTAATTCAGCTCCAAACTACCTAATTTACTCCATCTACAACTCGTTTTGTAAATAATTTCAGCATTACATTTATTTATTTTCAGTGTTGGGGAAAGTTACTTTTAAAAAGTAATACATTACAATATTTTCATTACTCCCTAAGAAAAGTAACTAATTGCATTACTTAGTTACTTTTTATGGAAGGTAATGTGTTACATTAATTTTGCGTTACATTTTCTCATCTGGACTGGGCTTGTTTGTTTGTTTTTAATATAAAAAGTTCAATTTTTGGCAAATGTAGAAGTGAAATGAATAAGACTCTGATTCCATTTCATACTTCCTATTCATTTTGAGGAATTCTGAATCTGTCTTTTTTTTGCAAGTGAGATGAGTAAATGCATGTTCACATTTAATCTAAAACTAAAGTAAGCATCATGTTTACACAGTGCACACAACACCTCTGCACTTCCGATTTCTCTCAATATGAGAACAGGAGAGCTGTCAATCAATACATGGGAAAACAAAGTAACTGGTAATACTTATTTGAAAAAGTAACAATTTTCTTATAAATTAAAAAGTAATGTGTTACGTTACTAGTTACTTGGAAAAGTAATCTGATTACATAACTTGCGTGACTTGAAATTTGTTACACCGGTGTATTTTACAAACTTTTAATAATCTAAGATAAAACTGTTTAATCTCCCTAAGATTTACACTGATGCTCTATTGGACATGCATTTTAAAGCAGCCATTGTATAAAATAATAAAATAAACTTGAAACATAATAAACTTGACTTGAAACAATGAAACTTAATATTAATATTAAATGTTAACAAAATAATAAAATATGAAAGCAATATATATAAAATAATCACAAGTGCCACTGAGATGAATGGCAATACTAAAGGATTGCTTTCTCTGGTTATTATAGACTTCCTTTGGTTTTTATCAAACATCTGGCTCAAATAATAATAAAAAGTGAACCATAACTGAAGAACCTCCATCAACCTCCAACTTTCCAAATGATAATTTCAACAAAATCTTTAATGCTATTCCTTTGCTGCTGTGGGCTTATTCCTTCAGGAAATGTACATCTAGCTCTTATTTTCATTCTGCTCCACCGAAGCAGAATCGTTATCATAATATAGTTACAGACAATTATAGTTATCGAATATAAACCCCACAAGGCTTGCTGAATGTGCACATAATAACAAAAAGTGTTTGTTAGTACTCTAAATTCCAATAATAAAATACAGATTTATCTTTCAAATTAACGGTCTTATTTAAAAAGGAGCAGAAAATGATTCAGATATCTTTTGTTTTTAACATTTTGTTAAAGGCCATGTGTCTAATTAGACTCTGCAGTATTTGCAAATTTGAAGTATCTGTATCTTAAGCAAACCCAGTTGAGAAGCACTGTTTTAAAGTATTGACTATAAACCTTTGATTTAGAAAAACTTTTTATTGTGGTCTATTTTGACGAGTTTTGAAGCCCTAGATGTGTCTGCGGTCAAAATACGTTCACTTAAAACTCACTTATTGGATTTGTGGTCGAGAAGCCTGTCGTCCAAGTCCAACAGGGCAGATGCGTGGTGGATCGGATGGCTGTTATAATGGATGGCGTTCCTCCTGAGGGTGAGAATACTCTGGCCGAACTTCATTCCCATCTCCTCCAGCTCCCGCGTCCCTGTCTGCAACCCCTGCGAGGTGAAGACATTTGAGATTGACAGTTCAGATTTATGATTGACAGACTGATTGATTGGAGCTGTCAAACTACATTTACAGACTTGTCTCTTAATTCTGGAGACATATTGTAAGTGGAGACATTTGCACTGTGAACACTTGTGCAAGAAAATATATGAATGTTCTTGAATTAAGTAACAAAATGTCCATAAACTACAAGTGAAACTAATGTTTAGACAAAAAGTTTGATTTAAAATAAATAAAAACAAATAAATTAACAATGCAAAATAAAATGAAACACAAACCAATATAAAAAAACTACACAAAACCAAACAAAAAACACACACACACACAAACACAAAACAAAAAAAACAACACAAAAAGTGCAAACAAAACACAAAACCAAAACCAAAACAAACAACAACAAAGCAAAACATTAAACACAAACCAAAATAACAAAAACACAAAACAACAAAACCAAAGGCAAACAAAAACATAAGCAAAAAAACAAAATAAAAATAAAAATAAAAACACGCACAAAAAACAACACATAAAAAGCAAACCAAAAAACAACACATAAAAAGCAAACCAAAAAAACAACACATAAAAAGCAAGCCAAAAAACAGAACAAAAAAAAACACAAAACAAAATGCTAACAAAACAACAGACAACCAAAAAAAAAAAAAAAAACTCAAACAAAACACAAAACCCAAATAAAAACGTAACAAAAAACAAACAAACAAACAATGCAATGCAAAACAAAACAAAAAACCTAAAACACAAACCAAAATAAAAACAAAAACCTATACAAAAAGAGCAAGCAACAAGGCAAAACGAAACAAAAAAAAACAAAAAACAGAGCAAACATTTCTGTATTAAGGTAAAACTGAAGATTTATGAAATTTTTTGGGGGAAAGTTTACAATTTAATTAATTAATTTATTTATTTTGCAAATGTCACTTGGATGTTTTTGTATCTGGTAACAATTATACATTTTTATTTGAGACTGAAGTGACCAAATATATTGTGTAGCCACTGTATTTTGCAGCCTGTTGTATAGCACTTTGAGACTGAAGTGACCAAATATATTGTGTAGCCACTGTATTTTGCAGCCTGTTGTAGCACTTTTGTAGCACAAAATTTGCTGAAAGCAGCATTGAGTCAGGTCCCAAAATGCATCTGCATTGACACCACAATGTTATTGCACACTTCCCCGCTGTGCACAAACTCTCCTCTCATATAATGCATTGTTCCGGAAACAACCATTAATGGAAATCCAGACACTAACAATATTTTCTGCCACTAGTAAACAAACAGCGCAGGCACTGAAACGTTCACGCTTTTCTAGGCACACAAAATCATGCAATAACCCAAAGTCCTGACCCAGTGGTTCAATGAGCTGTGGATTACTGCAGGTTAACAAAATCAATAAATCTGCAGCGTCTCCATGTTTCTTCAGCACTCCACTCACCGGTGAAACCAAAACAAAGAAGCTTGTGGAGCTTTTATCTGCTCACCCAAGTCATAATTCATGTTTCCATCAAATTCAAACCAAAGCATTTACTGTATGAATTTATTGTATACAGTACATGTCTTGAAGTAAACTAAGGATGTTAAAATATAACAAGTATTTATGGCTTTGACACAACATGATTTTGTATTTAGTATGGGTAGTTGACATTAAATATCTTTGGTAAGATGGCCTGCTATACTCCATCTAAACCGTATTATAATCTGCATTTTACAGTTTATTATTATGCATGCAGCTTTCATGGCTTCCAAAATTATGGCCAATAAAATTCCATGATTTTTCAATTATACTCTTTCCATTCATTCACAATCATCATAATTATCATCTCAAAAAGACACCGTCTATCGGTTCCTAGTAGATGAAATATTTTGTAATATAACATTAAATTGACAATACATATTCATAAAAATTGTAGAACATTGTTTACTTCAATTAATTTTGTAGGCCTTGATTGACTGATTGATATTTACATGATGAGGAACCCCAAGTGTTTATTAAAAGATACATAAAGAAACAATGTATCTGAAACAAACAAAATTGAAACAAACAAAATGTAAAATGATTTCAGAGCAGCAGTTGGTAAGATTTTTGGTGAACAATTAACTAAATTTCAGTTTGTTTATATGATTTCAGAATTTCAGACTTGAAATTTACAACTAATGATGAGAGATGATTATAAATTGCAACAAAAATGCAAAGATATTTATAAATGTTTTATAAACTACAACTAGACTGGTGTCCACTAATTGAAATACATCTATTTTTTTTTTTCAATTAGATTTTTATATACATTTTAGCCTTAAATCTATGAACTGTTGTAAACGTTTTGAAAATGGAGACATGAAACAACTGTGTGCAGTCAGTCATAAAATGAACAGTCAAACAACATAAAAACAGTCATAATTACAAGCTGTTCCTTCCATATCATATCGATTCTCACCCAAATAAAGTCTTTAACCTTGCCTGTTTCAACGATCAGTTTTCTGTCAGATTACGCCTTTCATAACAACATAATGATTGCAGATTATTTCGCCAAGAAGCAGCTGCACCTGCTCACTCGAGCATGTTATTAGCGTGTGAACGCTGCACGCTTCCCTAGAGAACGCGCGGCGGTGAATCCCTGTGAGCCCTTCATTCACTGCAACCTCGGCTTGGTGAGATTGAGCCCGGTTTTGCTGCAATGCAATCTCCATTAGAGACGATTCATTATGAGCGATCACGACTTACAGGGCCGTGTAGGAATCAAGAGAAAAAAGGTGTCAGAATTTTTCATATGAGCCACCCCCCCTTATTTGGTTGCATCGTTCACCCCATGTGACACCAACAACCCTTCTTTCCTTCTCTCTCCCCATGTACGAGCCTTGACGCTGTAGATAAGTGAGCCTTAGTTGTAAACTCAGCAGGCCAGATGAGTCAGAAGGGAGTTAGCGTCAGCGCTAATACCTTAAGAGTCTCGCCACACTCTGGGGAAGCGGCCAAATTAATGTGAAGCCGTGTAAGGAAGAGAATGATGGGTGAGCAACACCAGGCGCACCTACCCACACCTGACCTTTACATGATCGAGAGACACAGCATACAAAAACACACGTCCACAGTGCAGACACAAACTCACAAACAAACAGACGTTTACCGCAGCCTCCCTCTAACCGGCCAATGAGACGCTAGGGTGCCGAAAGTGAGGGAAAACTGCTCAGTATGAGCGCAGCGGTGTGTTCTGGGTATCGCTCTTCAATAATTTAGAGGCAAACCAGGGGTTACATGTGTAGAATGCATAGAGCCTGGGCTGTTTACTCGCAGTCGAAAATCAATTCTCAGCATGTTTGCATTGGGGAGGCCACACTGATCATTTCAGCAGATGCACAGCCCTTTAACTTCCGCTGGGATGCGATCGGTCATGTCAAAACACTTGCGCTTATGGGTTTCGAGCGGAAGCTGAACCCATCTGCTATGTTTGCATGCAGCTAATTGCAAATTAAGTGCAGCAAAGCAACTACATTAAAAGCAGTTGCTGATATGCAACATGTTCAGTGCAAATATTAAAATCTATGTCAGATGTTAGAACAACATTCAGATGACGTTTTTGTGACACGTATGGTTCAGAATGCTCATGAACCTGCACTGTGTAGGATTTCAGATATTAGTTACTACTTTTTTCAGAATTAATTTCCATAACATGTCCAGTCATTTTTTGCAGGTTAATTAAAAGAAAAAAAGAAGAAAAAAAAGACGAAAAAAAAAAAAGAGACAAACATGCAAAAAAATAAGAAATCAGGAAGGGGGCCAACACTCACACCACTGTATATATATATATATATATAAACAGTAAAAAAGTAAAACAAAGCACAAAACGAATCAAAATAAAGCAAACAAAACAAATCAGTATTGAATTGTTTTCAAATAAATAAATAAATAAACTAATTTCCTGTCCTTTTTAATGATAATTTGGCCAGGAAAAATGAATATGAACTTCTAGGGCTGTGGGAACAAACAAAATGAAACACAAAACAAAAGACAAAAATATAAAATAAATAAAAATACAATAAAATAAAACACAATAAAAACAAAACTAAATAAAATAAAATAAAGAAAGACAAAGCAATATCAATCTGCTGTCAAATGATTAATCACATCCAAAATAACAGAATATACAGAATATATGTGTGTGTACGATGTATATTTATGTATATATAAAGACACACACAGTATATTTTGAAAATAGTTA